GGGTGGGGTGGGGGAGCAGGCACCTGGAATCCCAGCTACTTGGAAGGCCGAGATGGGAGAATCGCTTGAGGCCAGGAGTTCAAGACCAGCCTGGGCAGCATAGCAAGACCCTGTCTCTAAAAATAATTTTAAAAAACAAAACAAAACTAGTAAATCTCAGAAGAATCTATGAACACACAGGAATTCAGTGGCAGTAAGCCCTCACCCACGGAGGTAAGGTCATTTAATCCTGAGCAGTTATGAAGGCCAAAGTCCTCGGCATTAAGCTGTGTGGTGTCACAGTGGTGGGTGTGAGGTTTCCCACGGTGTTGGCTGGATGATGGTGAATCTACAGGCTCTGCCTGTTCTAGTTTTCCTCCATTCAAGGCTTGTGATGCTGTTTGATAACCCCAAGAAGGGCCTCTGTCCTCCTAAGAACTCATCTGTCTTTTTCGCCACTTGGCTCAGGCCGGAGTAAGCAGGGCCAGTGGGAGGGTACTCCTGAATCCCGGGAGCCTGCACCTTTCAGGAGCCCATCCCTCCCTGGTCACAAGCAGACCCCCAGAGGACTCAGGCTATACACAAACCCACGTCCACTGGAGACTGCAGCCTCTGGGCATCAGGCACTGCCAGGGACTCCTTTGAAGTTATCACCTAGAGGCCAGGCACGGTGGCTCGTGCCTGTAATCCCAGCACTTTGAGAGGCCGAGGTGGGCGGATCACCTGAGGTCAGAGTTTGAGACCAGCCTGACCAACAAGGAGAAATCCTGTCTCTACCAAAAGTAAAAAATTAGCCGGGCGTGGTGGCAGGTGCCTGTAATCCCAGCTACTCTGGAGGCTGAGGCAGGAGAACTGCTTGAAGCCAGGAGGTGGAGGTTGCAGTAAGCCGAGGTTGCACCACTGCACTCCAGCCTGGGCGATGAGAGCGAAACTCTGTCCGTCTCAAAAAACAAAACAAAAGAAAAGAAAGAAAGAAAAAGAAAGAAAGAAATTATCAGCTAGGAAAGTGCCTTGATTCACTAAGGGATCTTACGGCTGGTAAGCTAGTCCAAGAGCAGCGTGAGGCCCGCGGGACTCCCCGCTTCCCTTCCACCGGAGGGAAAGAACACTCTGATCATGGACTTCAGCAAGCCAGCAACTCAGAGTTCGGGCGCCACAGGCAGGGCTGCGGTCCTACTCTGCAGGGACCATGTGCCCAATTTAGCTCTGGAAAAACATGCCAGTGACAAAGGCACAGGCTGCTGGGGATGAGGGTGGCACTGGAAAGAGGTGGGGCTGGCTACAGGGCACCTCCCCTGAAGAGGTGCTGCTAGGTTGCCACCCTCCACCCCGGCACCCAGACGTGCTGCTGGGCTGAGGACTCAGCTCCAGGGCCCACCTTGGATAAGTCAGCTCCGTCTGGTACCAGGGGGCAGGGAAAACCCCAGGAGACGATGCTAAAGAGAGCCCATTTTCACCAGCCTGGAGCTGTGCCCATCTCTGTCCTTGGTGCCAGCGTCATGGAGGCCCTGAGAAGGCCCCCTCTTCCCTGGGTCACTATCAGGATCCTTTGGAGCATGTCCGAGGGCCCAGAACACAAGAGGCTCCTCCAGTGATGAACCAGCGCCGGTACACCCAGGGGCTGCCCAAGGTGAAGTAGAAACTTAAAAGCATCCGCCCATCAGGAAAGAGCACAGTCTTTAGTCCCGGGTCCCACTTACCTGAGGATGCCACTCACATATCTGCCCATCAGGAAATAGCATCTTGAGTCCTGGATCTCACGGGCCACCCCACGTCCAAGTCCCCGTCACGGGAGAGGCCTGGACTCCAGTTCATCTGGTCCAGGGCTCTCCACTGGTCCCTGAGACGGCAGTCCTGACCCCGACCCCTCATGTCCTAAGGGTGCTTCTAGGCCCTGACCGGAGATAGCCACGGGAGGCCCCTGCTGCATTCCCAGAACCCGTGAGGTCCCAGGAATCAGGCCCATTGACACCTGTTGCTGCCATAGGAGCCATCTTGCACCCCGGTTGCCAGGGTGGCCTGCCATTCCCAAATCCTTAGTGAGCTCTCCATGAGGTAGGGCTGGAGGGACAGAGCTGCCTCTTCCCAGCGTGGCCATCCTCATCCCAGACGGCAAGGGGCAGTGGGGGCAGAGTGCAGGCAGGGCTGGCCTGGCTTGCTGATGGGACCCACTTTGTGGAAGAAGTGGACGGCTCAGGGGCTCTCCAGGGAAACCCCCCAGGGGCGCAGATCGGGACCCACAGGCTGGGGAGAGCAGCAGTGTGCCCAGGCCTCGGGCTGAGTTCTGCCCCCATCTCAGTGGCATTCCACGGTCCAGGTGGTGGCCAGAAGGCCCTGGTGAGAAGGGCAAGGGCCAATTTCTGCCCCGGCTTGTTTCCAAAGACTCATGGAGGAGATCCATCTAGGCAGAGGACAAGCTAATGCCAGACACCACGAGGGCGGGGCCAGGAAGGTCCAGAGTCAAGATGGGGCACTGAGGCCTGCCTTTCACGATGGGGAGGATGGCCACCTGGAGAGCCACAGCTCAGGGACACAGGGCTATGATTCAGGGAGGGTGTCAAGAGGGGAGCTGGAGGCGGCCTGGGGGACAGCTCCCTGCAGCCGCAGCCTCTTGGGGACCAGGAAGATGGGCTGGGCAGGAAAGGGAGGAGCCCTAGGCCCTCCAGTCACATGCTCAGGGCTTCGCAGGGGCCCACTCAGTTCACTGCTTCAGGTCGGTGAACTCCGGTCCCTCCCAGCTCCAATGACAAGGACGGGAAAGGTGCTGGGCCCAGCCCAGCCCGGGTACAGAGGAATGAGGACATCAGGATGCCGTGCGATCCAGGGAAGAGGGCTTCTACCATCTCGTTTTACTTTGCGGGGACTGAGCCTAAAGTAACCAGAAAGAACAAGAGTCAACAGGGACTCTACCATGCGGGGCCCAAGCACTGGCTTTTACTTAAAAATAGTGTTTTGGTCCCCAGGAGGCCAGTGCAATCTGAACATAGAAGGAGAAGTTTGGGAGAAGTTTATTTTTTTTTCCCAGCAACCTTTCTCTCCCTTTCAACAAAAACATTTCTTCCCTACAACTGGTATCAGAAAATAGCTTCTGACTAGTTGTGGAGAAACATTCCCAAGCCTGGGAGGAGTGGGCTCCCCCGGACAGGCCTGGCAACCCTCTGGCAAAGCCTCGAGCCAGCATCCAAAGGTCAGGACCCTGCTGTCTCAACCACACGCTGGAAGTGCCGTCCACTGGACTGGCTCGCCCAGCGTGGGCCACGGAGGAAGGCTGCTGGCCATCAGAGTCTTAGGAAAACCTGGTGGGTGTTGGCCTGTCCACCCAGACTTCTATGGGTCAGTTCGCTTACCTGTAAAAGGGGGCGGTATAACCACTCTGAGACCCTGCCTTACCCCAAAATGGTATAGTTCTGGTACTTTGAGTCTGGAAAAGGGAGAGAATACTAGTCCTGCCCACCTCCTAGGGCAGCCTCAGGGAGTAAAATGAGCTGGTGGGCCGGGCATGGTGGCTCATGCCTGCAACCCTAGCACTTCAGGAAGCCGAGGTGGGCAGATCACTTGAGGCCAGGAGTTTGTGACCAGCCTGGGCAACACGGTGAAACCTTGTCTCTACTACATATAGAAAAGTTAGCTGGGTGTGGTAGCACATGTCTGTAATCTCAGCTACTCGCGAGGCTGAGCCAGGAGGATCACTTGAACCTGGGAGGCAGAGGCTGCAGTGACCTGAGATTGTGCCACCGCACTCCAGCCTGGGCAACAGAGCAAGACTCTGTCTCAAAAAATAAAATTATATTAAAAAGCAGCCGGGCGCGGTGGCTCAAGCCTGTAATCCCAGCACTTTGGGAGGCCGAGGCGGGTGGATCACGAGGTCAAGAGATCGAGACCATCCTGGTCAACATGGTGAAACCCCGTCTCTACTAAAAATACAAAAAATTAGCTGGGCATGGTGGCGGGTGCCTGTAATCCCAGCTACTCAGGAGGCTGAGGCAGGAGAATTGCTTGAACCCAGGAGGCGGAGGTTGCGGTGAGCCGAGATCGTGCCATTGCACTCCAGCCTGGGTAACGAGAGCGAAACTCCGTCTCAAAAAAAAAAAAAAAAAGCAAATGAGCTGACGAGGAAAGGCTTTGCTTACTGACTTCTTTTTTTTTTTTTTTTTTGAGACTGAGTCTTGCTGTTGGCCAGGCAGGAGTGCAGTGGTGCAATCACAGCTCACTGTAGCCTCAACCTCCTGGGTTCCAGACATCCTCCCACCTCAGGCCTGTGAGTAGCTGGGACTAATGCCTGGCTAATTCTTTAATTTTTAAATTTTTTTTTGTAGAAACAGCACCTCACTATTTCACCCAAGTTAGTCTGGAAATCCTAGGCTCAAGCGATCCTCCCACCTTGGCCTCCCAAAGTGCTGGAATTATAAGCGTGAGCCACCGCACTTTGCATAAATGGACACTTTAATGACCACTCAGGAATGAAACCAGCCAGAACTGGCCCAACCCTTTGCACCTTTATCAACCCATTCGTAAACAATTCCTGACCCTCTCTAGGCCATTCCTTTGCATGTATCACATGGTGTGATCTCAAAGCATGGAGCAGAAGAGTCCCCACTTTGTCCCCTGTGGGATCTTCCCTGTCATTCATCCCAGGAGAAGCTAAAATTAGTTCATCTTCCCTTATACGCACAGACACATGCTCAAGGCCCACCTTCCCAATCCTGTCCCCGCAGCCACTGGAGGGGGGTCCCAGAGGAAAGCTGCCTGGCCTCAGACAAGCCCAGGTGCGGGACTGCATCCGAGGCACGCACTGAGCCCAGGTGTTCAATCTGATCGCACACAATACAGAAAGAGGACCAGCTAAAGAATCCTTCGCTGGGGAGAGGCATCAGCCACTTAATTGGAGAAATCTGCAGCAGCTTTAAATGTGAGCTGGATTTGGAGGGAAGAGAAAGACTCGTCACCCACAGGCCACGGTGGAGGAGAGGTTCATTGGAAGCCATGAGCCCAGGTCAGAAACCACAGCCCCAGAGCGAGAGTTAATAAAGCAGAAACATGTTTATTAGGCACTCTTGTTCCTCACAGAGGAGCAAGATCCAGGCCTGAGCGCCTGGTAAGTCTCTTGAGGTTGCAGGAATCTCCAGAGAAACATAGGCGCTGCCCGGCCACCACCCCGAGAACACTATTTGGCTGGAGTGAGACCGCCGAGGTGACCCTGGCAGGGGGCCGAGCTTGGGCTCCTCTACTCCACAAACACCGAGGAGTGGGTGGGGACACCCAGGACATCCACCCCAACACTGGCAGGAAGGGAGGCCCATCCAGCTCCGGGGCCCCCGCTGCTGAGCCTGCCAGGGGGAGGAGAAGCCTGAAGAGCCCCTTGTCCAGGGCCAGGTCCCCAGGGCCCTCCCCAAATCTGCCCGCCTTTCCTGGCCACCGCTGACTCAGTCCCACACGTAGGGGTTTCTAAAGACCTGAGAGTTCTTGCCATCTTTCAGCGGCACGGCCGCCTGGTGGCTCTGGGCCGAGTACATGTCTTCAGCCCGCAGGGTCGAGTTGGCACTGCCCATCACCTGGCTGTTGGCGGTGGCCCGTGGGAGGATGACATCGTAAGCTCCTTCGGACTGGAAGGAAGAACAGGCGGTCTCACGGTCGGGGATCAGGAGCCAGGTTCCGCCGGGGCGGATGTACAAACACTTGCTTCCTGCAGGGCTGGGCCTGCCGGCTCTCCCCATCCCCCGCAGCTTCCCCCTCGGCTCCTCTGCCCCCTCTGGTTGGGCCCCAGGGGCAGCCTGGGATGGCCAAATCTGAGCCCCTTACCTCACCCTGCTTCTGGGCAGGGGAACAGGGCCCCTGGTGACCTTGGATGGTGCTGGAGCTTAACAGAGGGAGGTCCTCTTCCCAAGCCCCCCCCCCCTGCTTCCAATTCTTTAGGGAAACCTTAGGGCCAGTGGAGGGTCAGCCACACGGAGCTGCTACTACCTGTCTGGTATGGCTCCCAGGCCCCCTCCCTCCAAGAATCTTACCCCGAGTCCACCACTGTCACTGCCACCCCCTACCATCACAGCTGTGGCTTCTCTGGCCGAGGACATGGCCCTGGGTGCGCCCACACCTCTCTCTGGGCATCTAGGCTGGCCGGTCTGATTTGGAGTCTTCTTTTTTTTAAGTGGAGATGGTGGCAGTGCAGGGGGGGGGTTGTCTCACTACATTGCCAGGGCTGGTTTCGAACCACCCCCACCCCAGGACCTCAAGCAATTCTCCCATGTTAGTCTCCCAAAGCACTGGGATTAAAGGCATGAGCCACTGCATCTGGCGCAGATTTCTTGTCTTGAAACCTGAATTCTCTGCCTGGAACTGGGTCTTGCTCCCCTGTGGGTGAGAGACACTGGCTGTGGGGTTTAGAGGGTCCTGAGGTAGCTGTTCTGGTTCCCATGCTGCAGGGAAGGTGAATTCCTGGCCCCTGTGTCTTAGCCCTATGGGAAAGAGCTGCCACCAAATCTCTGTAGCTGCCAGGCCCCGAACCAGCCTTCAAGTCAATCAGACCCAGGAGGGCCTCAGGCCTGTCTGCAATAGCTCCCTGTCCATGTGGCCCCGAACCTGGGTGTGCATTGGAATCACCTGCGCTGCTTGTTAAGCCTCACCAACTCGTAGCTGGACCCTCCCCAGTGGGCCCCACGCAGCTGGCAGCAACTGGGGCTGGGGGAGGGAGTGCCGAAAGCAGGGCTTACAGATCTGCTCTGGATAGTGCCCCCTGGTGGCCATGCCCTGAAGGGATGCTAACAGTTGGCTCCATTCCAGCTCGGGCCCCGCCCCGCCCGCACTTTTATTATTTTTATTTTTTGAGATAAAAAGTATTGTTGTCCAGGCTTGAGTGCAGTGGTGAGATCTTGGCTCACTGCAGCCTCCAAATCCAGGGTTCAGGCGATTCTCTGGCCTCAGCCTCCCTAGTAGCTGGGGCTAGAGGCGTGTGCCACCGCATCTGGCTTTTTTTTTTTTTTTTTTTTTTTAAGTAGAGATGAGGTTTCGGCATGTTGGCCAGGCTGGTCTTCAACTCCTGACCTCGGTGAACCACGTGCCTCAGCCTCCCAAAGTGCTGGGATTCCCGGTGTGAACCACTGCGCCTGGCCCCCATCTGTACTTTTAGCAGGTTCCCAGGTGAGACTAACGCTGGTGGCCCACGGGGGACCATGTTTTGAGAACTAGTCAGATAAAATCTCCCTGTTAGTACACATCATCCCCCAGGAATCCAACTCCAAACACGCTGGGGAGCAAGGCGCAATGGCCGTGAGGAAAGCCACTCAGGAAAGGCTTCTGTGGCTCCCTACGTCCCCAGGGCTGGCGGCCCGCAGTTTCCACTCCTGGTCCTCGGGAAACTCTCCTCTGCCCGGGCTCAGGTTCAGGCTCAGGGAGGGGGGAAGTGCTGGGATTGGAAGCTTCAGCCACACTCACCTCCCCCTGCCCTGGGGTTCTCACAGAGAGGGCGGGGAGGGGGATGAGAACGCCACCCGGCTGACCTCGCTTCCTGTTCCCAGCGTCCTGCCAAGAAGGGTCACTGACTTCTCCCCACAGCCTCTGCCAGCCGGGAGGAGGAACACATATAGGAGTGAGTGGAAGTGAGTAGAATCCAACCCACCGTCTTCCTGCTCCCCCCTCTCCCCTTGCTAACGGAGCATCTAGTTTCCAGAACCCAGGGGAGGTGTAAGGTCGAGACTCACTGCCTGCCGGAGTGGGAGGGGAGGCACGGGCCCCCTTGGCACAGCTGTGGTTCAGAAGTAAACAAACACCTCTCCAGACCTGCTACATTTGGTCCCTTGTCCACTTCGGGAGCACCTAGCTGAGACCCTCCTTTGTCCCTCCCCAGCTTCTCCGGAATAAAGCTGGCAGCTCCCACCAAGGAGAGCTCACCCAGCATTCCCTGTGGCATCCAGACACGGCCTATGTGGATGCCCCAGTGACACAGGGCAGGCCCGCTGCAGTGCAACTGAAGGTGGTGGGCACACCGGCTCCAGGAGAAGGAGGTCGAGAACAAGGGCTCTGGATTCGCTGGTAGAAGCACCAGATGGAGAAACCTGCCTTTCCCCCACCACTTCCACCCAACCCAGCTCCGGCCACATGGCCTGCTCCCGCTGGCCTGCTAAGGCTGTGCTCTGTAGCCCAGCCGTGTCACGGGGACCTGGGGACCCACTCACCGGGCCTTTGTGCATCAGGGCCATCTCGGTGGGCTGGTACACACTGGTCAGCAGCTGCCCGTTGTACCCGCTGTATGGCGACACTGGTCTCTTAGCTGCAAGGAAAAGCAGGAACAAATTGAAGATCCCAGAGCTCTCAGCTCTCTTCCCCACCTCCCGCAAGGCAAGCAAGGCTCTCTGGGGGCAGGGAAGAGGGACGAGGGGACAGGCCAACCCTGGCATAGTCTCTAACCCAGGAGTGGCCAACTTGGGGGTGAGGTTGTGAACACGGGGGCCCCCCTCCCAAGCCCCACACCCCTTTGTACAGATGCACGGGAGAAAATGACACCGTGGGCTTCCCTGCAATGTAGGACCCCCAGCCCCAGACTCAAGAGCTCAGAAAATGCTCTGTCAGCAACCTCCACATCCCCATCCGCTCTCTGGGGCCAGAGGCCAAGAGGACACATGGGCCTTCGGCCGCCTTCCAAGATGGCCAGCCTCCAGCTCTGCCTGTCACCACGGGCCAGCTGCCAGGCGCAGGGGTAAATACATCTGAGACCCATCGGCCTAAGCCCGTTCATGTCCTCCCTGGGCGCCCCTTCCCCACTGCACCAACCCAGAGGCTGGCCAGGGAGCCTTAAAGCAGTCCCATACCGTGGCCCCCCGGGGAAGTCTCCAGAACTATTTTAGCTCCAGGGATACTTCCCTGTGCCTTTCCGGTGTTGGTTTCCCGATGTGTTCCGCCCTGCTGGGCACTCCTAGGGTGTTTGAGGAGGGCTGCAGACCCACCCGGGACCTTGGAACCGGTCTGGCTGGGAGGGCGGCACAGCGGATGTCTGGCTCCGGCAGGGCCGACAGTCCCCCAGCTTTGAGGGACCGCAACCTATATAGCTTCCTAAGTGCTGGGCTCACTCTATTGATTTTTCCATTTAGAAAAAAAAAAAAAAAAGGAAGAACTCAGCCCCAAACGCTGAGAACCATTTGGTCCTGACAGACACTCGGTGTGGGGGCGGGGTCTGAGGCTCCTCCCAGCACGTGTCCATAAGCCCCGCCTCTCCGGTGGGCTTGGCCAATTCCACCCCCCATGCACACTCTCTGAGTATGACAGGGGCCACCCTGAGGGGCGGCCAGCGCCTTCGCCCAGGTAGGTAGATCAAAGATCAAGTGCCTGGCAGGGCAAGGGTCATCTCTTTCTCCAAAGAAGGGATTATGAGGATTTCACAGTTTGTAGAAAAGAATGTCTCTGATTCTGGAACTTCCGCGGCAGCCTCTGACCTCCCAGCAGAGGCCCCAGAGCTGGTGCCCGTTAACCCGGCAGTTAAGAAAGTCTTAAGCCCCCAGGCCTCCAGATCATCACAGTCTGGGGGCGGGGTCAAGGCTTTGAGATGGTGCCCTCAGATTTCCAGGTCATGTCAGATGAGGGGCTGCAGCCAGCAGGCTGAGGGAGGGCACGTGAGATGCGTGCGACGGGCCACACCGGGAAGGGAATTAGCACAGGGGCTGACCTAGAGCAGGTGCTGAGGAAATGTCAGTGGGCTGCACAGCTAACAGGGATGCTGCTGAGACCACTATGCAGCACCCCAAATGCTTTTATTAAAAAGAGAAAAAGGCCCGGTGTGGTGGCTCACGCCTGTAATCCCAGCACTTTGAGAGGCCAAAGTGGATCACTTGAGGTCAGGAGTTCAAGACCAGCCTGGCCAACATAGTGAAACCCCGTCTCTACTAAAAATCCAAAAATGGGCCAGGTGTGGTGACATGCATCTGTATTCCCAACTACTGGGGAGGCTGAGGCAGGAGAATCGCTTGAGCTGGGGAAGTGGAGGTTGCAGTGAGCTGAGATCGCACCACTGCATTCCAGTCTGGGTGACAGAGCGAGACCCCGTCTCAAAAATTGAAAAAAAGAAAAAAAATTAACTGAAAAATACTTCCTTTTAAAGAAAACTAAGGTGATTATGGATACATACATAATAGAAAACAAGTTCTGGAAGGATAGTATTAGTAAAATATGTAAAATAATAAGTCATACACATATAGCAAATAGCTAATTCTTCAAGAGAGCTTTTCATGAGCTGGGCACTAAGCAATTTATTTTTAAGATAATCCAGGCTGGAATGTGGTGGTATAATCATGGCTCACTGAAGCCTCAACCTGCTGGACTCAGGCAATTCTCCTGCTTCAGCCTCCCAAGGAGCTGGGGCCATAGGTGTGCACCACCACACCTGGCTAATTTTAAAAATTACTTGTAGAAAGCCTGTAATCCCAGCACTTTGGGAGGCCGAGGCGGGTGGATCACGAGGTCGAGAGATCGAGACCAAGCTGGTCAACAAGGTGAAACCCCATCTCTACTAAAAATACAAAAAGTTAGCTGGGCATGGTGGTGCGTGCCTGTAATCCCAGCTACTTAGGAGGCTGAGGCAGGAGAATTGCCTGAGCCCAGGAGGCGGAGGTTGCGGTGAGCCGAGATCGCGCCATTACACTCCAGCCTGGGTAACAAGAGCGAAACTCCGTCTCAAAAAAAAAAAAAAAAAAAAAAAAAAAGAAAAATTACTTGTAGAGACGGGGGTCTCACTCTGTTGCCCAGGTTGGTCTCAACTCCCGGGCTCAAGCTCCACCCAGCTCAGCCTCCCAAAGTGCTGGGATTACAGGTGTGAGCCAACTCGCCCAGCCGACACTAATTAATTTAATCCTCACAAGAACCCTATGAAATAGGTACTGTTATTATCCCCATTTTACAAATGGAGAAACAGAGGCACATAGATATTATACCAGTCAATAGCTGTCACTTCTGCATATGGAACAGGATGGGATGGGTAGGACTGGGGAGGTAGCTGGGGAAAATCCCATGTTATCTGAAATGTTTGAAATTTTTTTTTTTTTTTTTTTGAGACGGAGTTTCGCTCTCGTTACCCAGGCTGGAGTGCAATGGCGCGATCTCGGCTCACCGCAACCTCCGCCTCCTGGGTTCAGGCAATTCTCCAGCCTCAGCCTCCTGAGTAGCTGGGATTACAGGCACGTGCCACCATGCCCAGCTAATTTTTTGTATTTTTTTAGTAGAGACGGGGTTTCACCATGTTGACCAGGATGGTCTCGATCTCTCGACCTCGTGATCCACCCGCCTCGGCCTCCCAAAGTGCTGGGATTACAGGCTTGAGCCACCGCGCCCGGCCAAAATGTTTGAAATTTTACAGTAAGAATATGTGCATGAATTATATAAACATAGAAAAAAAAAAAAAAAAAACTTGTTTTTTTTGAGACAGTCTTACTCTGTCACCCAGGCTGGAGTGTAGTGGCTCGAACTGGCTCACTGCAACCTCTGCCTCCTGGGTTCAAGTGATTTTCCTGCCTCAATCTCCTGCGTAGCTGGGATTACAGGCACGCACCACTACATCCAGCTATTTTTTTGTCTTTTTTTTTTTTTTTGAGACAAGGTCTTTCTGTCACCCAGGCTGGAGTGCAGTGGCACAATCTTGGCTCACTGCAACCTCTGCCTCCTGGGTGATTTGCCTGCCTCAGCCTCCCAAGTAGCTAGGACTACAAGTGTGCACCACCATGCCCAGCAACTCACACCCAGCTAAATTTTTTTGGATTTTTAATAGAGACGGGGGTTTCACGATGTGGGTCAGGCTGGTCTCAAGTGATCCACCCACCTTGGCCTCCCAAAGTGCTGCAATGACAGGCATGATCCGCCGTGCCTGGATGAAAAAAAAAAATCTTTAAAATAAATGGAATTTAGAGACACTTAGGCAGAAAACCTCAAGAACCTTCCCTTTTGCTCAAGAGACTGGCTCCCTGTCCTGCAGTAAAAGATGTGGGACAGAGACAGGGGCCTGGGGGGCACTCCTGGAGACCCACCTGCTGCTGGCTCATCCATGGAAAAGGCCTTGTTCTCCACGAACATGCTCTGACCCTTCTGCTCTTTCAAGATGGTCTCATAGCCCACGCCCCGGGTGGGGTACATATCCCCCTGGTAGCTTTGCTCTGGACTGGACTTGGTCACCTGGGAGACCTCGGGGATGACATAGAAGACGACGAAGGCCCAGGCGTTGGCGGCGAGGGCGATGGCCAGCGTGGGGTCATCCCAGGTGGGACTGTTGCGCTGCCTGTTGCCGTAGGTATACATGACAATCCACACCACCCAGATGGCCATGGAGGTGGTCGTGGTGAGCAGCACGAAGACTCCATGCTTACGCCAGCGCTTGAAGCGGCCGCACAGAGCGGGCCAGGCCCCCAGGAAGGCAGCCAGTAGCAGCAGCATGACGTAGATGAGCGCCATGACGAAGTCCATGTTGGCGATGGCGCAGGGGGAGGCCACGGCCCAGTCGGCACTGCTGTTGCCCTGAGGGCCGCCCTCGCCACTGCCCCGAACCAGGGTGATGATCAGCCACTCCGTGTTGATGATGACCTCCACCAGGGTCAGCAGCAGAGCCACAGTGAAGATCACCCAGCCCCGGGGCCCATGGTTCTTCCGGGCCAGGAAGTTGAGGGCAAAGACGTGGGCCACCAGACAGGAGAAGCAGATGGCGAACAGGACCCCAAAGAGGAAGCGCCGAGAGGCACAGGTGGAGAAGTCGGGTTTCACCACGCAGGCAAACACGAGGCAGAAGAGGCCCAGGGTCCCCAGCAGGAAGAACACCTGGGTCCCCAGCAGGCTCCGCTTCTTGGTGTCCTGCACAAAGGGGAGGCTGGCCACCAGGATGATGGTGAGCACAAACGTGGTGACGACGCCTGCCCCAGCCACCGCCTCCAGGACGATGCCCCACGCCCCAGAGCGGTCACACAGGTTGTAATAGAGGGGGTTGAGGTCTGGGCTGCAGCCAGGTGGAGCATGGCCCTGGGCCCTGGCCCCTGGGAACAGGAAGAGAGGCAGTCCCAGGCACATCACCAAGGCTTTGTGGATGGCCATCCCGGCTCCCAGGCCAGGCTCCAGTCAGGTCCCTAGAGAAGAAATGGACAAAGGAAGGAAGCAAAAGGGACAAAATTAGTCCTCCAAGGTCAGACTCCCATAAACATGGTGCTGTTCCCCCATCCCAAACCCAGTGAGACAGTGCTAGCTGACCAGGAGGCTCTCTGGACTTCAGAATCCTTCTTAACACAGAACCCCTAAGAGGCCTTTCAACTGGCTAGAGAGGCAAATGAGATGAAACCCATTTGTCAGCCCTTTTCTTAGTCATGGCAAAGATAAAAACTGTCACGGAATTTTCAGTTCCCTCCCTTCCACCAACCATAACCTGGGTTCAGCTATTCCCTGAGCTCTGGCAGCTGGGGTGGAGGACGAAGGGGCTTGTGAACAAGTCAAGACCAAGCACCCTACCCACCCAGCACTTCCTGTCTGCCCGGGGACTTCCAGGCTTCAGGAGGTCAACCGCTATGCTCCTAAACTCCATCCCTGTGATGCTTAAATACATAGCCAGGCAGCTAGGCATTCATTCATTCATTCATTCACTCATTCATTCATTCAGTAAGGGCTTAACAAGCACCTGAAGCAGGCACAGCCAGCAGCCAGGAAAAAAAGAGACAGTCATTTTCCCATTTTCAGTGCCAAGTCTCCACTTCAGAATCCTCCATTTTTTTGCCTAGCTCAGATGCTGAAGTCAAGGATAAAATAAAGTCCCCAGCTAAGGAGTTAATGACTTAATGCAAACATTTTCCTGCAGAGCATTAACATTTTAAAAGCAAGTACCAGGCAAGGGCAAGGCAAAACCCAAAGGAATTACTCTTTAATGGAAGCCTTTAAGACATCCTCACTAGAAGGCAAGAAAGTTAGCTTTTATTAACACCAGCAAGGTATTTTTCACTTCATCTTCTCACTGCAAGCTCTACCAAGTGCCACAGAGCTGCACCAGAGAAGAAAACCAAACCCCTGCTCCTAATAGCGACTGGATTTTCCCTGTGTGAAGTGGAGGTAATGGATGTATCAGGTTAAGCGACATTAAAGACCAAATCAATGAGTTTTCTCCAATCAAAAGTTTTCAATGTACTTGGAGGAAACCTTACACTGAAAATGTAAATGCAGCTGGGCACGTTGGTTCATGCCTATCATCCCAGCACTTTGGTAGGTCAAGGTGGATGGGTTGCTTGAGTCCAGGAGTTTGAGACCAGCGTGGGCAACATGGTGAAACCGGTCTCTACAAAAAAATATATAAATTAGCAGTCGGGCATGGTGGCTCACAACTGTAATCTCAGCACTTTGGGAGGCCGAGGTGGGCAGATCACTTGAGGTCAGGAGTTTGAGACCAGCCTGACCAAAATGGTGAAACCCCCATCTCTACTAAAAATACAAAAATTAGCCAGGTGTGGAGGTGCGCACCTGTAATGCCAGATACTCAGGAGGCTGAGGCAGGAGAATCACTTGAGCCCAGGAGGTGAGGATGGCAGTGAGCTGAGATGGAACCACTGCACTCCAGCCTGGGCAAAAGAGTGAGACTCCATCGGAAAAAAAAAAAAAAAAAAAAATTACATATATATCTAGCAGGGTGTGGTGGCATGTGCCTGTAGTCTGAGCTGCTTGGGAGGCTGAGGTCAGACGATCATCTGAGCCCAGGAGATCAAGACTGTAGTGAGCTGCAGTACCACTGCACTGTAGCCTGGGCAACAGAGCGAGACTCTGTTTCCAAAAAAAGAAAGAAAAAGAAATTTTAAATGCTTTAAGAAGCACATTATGCACTTTGAAATTCTATGAACGCAGGTAGTCCACATTTAAGTCACCCCACGTGTTCAAATAACTAGTTGTAACCCTGCCTCATCAGGAACTCTGGAAAGACAGCAACCAAGCTTTCCTGGTCTGACAGTGACCACTAGTGGCTGGCAGGGGAATGGCATTATCTAACTCTACTCTGTGAGGCTCCAGCCCTTCTTCCTTTTTTAGGGAGATTGGGGGGTTGTTTATACAAGGTTTACCTCCTTACTGGTTTTTTTTTTTTTAGACAGAGTTTCACTCGTTACTCAGGCTGAAGTGCAATGGCGCGATCTTGGCTCACTGCAACCTCCACCTTCTGGGTTCAAGCAATTCTCCTGCCTCAGCCTCCCGAGTAGCTGGGCCTACAGGCGTGCGCCACCACGCCCAGCTAATTTTTGTATTTTTAGTAGAGACGGGGTTTCACCACATTGACCAGGATAGTATCGATCTCTTGACCTCGTGATCCACCCACCTCAGCCTCCCAAAGTGCTGGAATTATAGGCGTGAGCTGTTTTTTTTTTTTTGTTAAACCATTCATGGCTACTTAATTTCTAAAAGGCAAGCGAAAACCCTAAATCCCACAGCTGATAGAAATTGTCCCTCTCTTCAACACAGAAACAAAAAAAATATTAAAAAAAAAAATTCTGGCTGGGCGTGGTGGCTCAAGCCTGTAATCCCAGCACTTTGGGAGGCTGAGGCGGGTGGATCACGTGGTCAAGAGATCGAGACCATCCTGGTCAACATGGTGAAACTCTGTCTCTACTAAAAATACAAAAAACTAGCTGGGCGTGGTGGCTCGTGCCTGTAATCCCAGCTACTTAGGAGGCTGAGGCAGGAGAATTGCCTGAGCCCAGGAGGCGGAGGTGGTGGTGAGCCGAGATCGCGCCATTGCACTCCAGCCTGGGTAACAAGAGCGAAACTCCGTCTCAAAAAATAAATAAATAAATAAATAAATAAATAAATAAAAATTAAAAAAAAATTCTGTCCATAATATGTGAAAGAACACTTACTAAAACGGGGCAATGAAACTCATTAAATTAAGTGAAATAGACACAATAAAGAGGATGCATTTTCAAAGTCCCTGCAGGTCCTACATGCCACTTGAAAATACTGAGGTCTTCTTAGCCATCTCAGCTACCTCATCTTTCCATTAAGCTCGGTTAATTCTTAACATTTTCCCTCTTATGTAAATGTACTGTTGTTTTCCTAAAACACTGGCGTTGTCACAGCTAGTTTCTCTTCACTTCTAATGCAGGGCTTAAATAAGCTTCTGTAGGGGACTTTGTAAATCAGTAAAGCACCAACTATATTTTATTTACAAGTGCTGGAAAGAGGAGCAAGCCAGGGCTAAGAGCTAAGGAGTAATACTGAGCCACTCCCAGGAGATAATTTATGAATAACAACATGCTCTGGAATCCTAAATGTTCAGCTCCGTCTTGGGCCCTACAGCCAGCCAGCCAGAACTTCCAGCTGAAGCTGGAAGTAGGGAAGAGATCAAACACTGAGAAGGGCCATTTAGCCTCTGGGCACCTGCACTTTTTTTTTTTTTTTTTTTGAGATGGACTTTTGCTCTTGTTGCCCAGGCTGGAGTATAATGGCGTGATCTCAGCTCATCATGCCCCGGCCTCCCAGGTTCAAGCGATTCTCCTGCCTCAGCCTCCCGAGTAGCTGGGATTACAGGCAGATGCCACCATGCATGGCTAATTTTGTATTTTTAGTAGAGATGGGGGGGGTGGGGTCGGTTTCTCCCTGTTGATCAGGCTGGTCTCAAACTCCCGACCTCAGGTGATCCACCCGCCTCAGCCTCCAAAGTACTGGAATTACAGGCTGCACCTGCACTTTCATGGGCTTCTCACCCCACTTCCCTCTGCCAGGGCCCAGTTTAGAACAGGCAACTGCTCCCAATCAGCAAATATTGACTGTGAACCAGGGAAAGAAAGGCCCTGTTGTTCTCAGAGCTGTGAAAAATACAAATGTGAACACAGTTCCTGGCTTGGCAGTATTTAAAATCTAATAGGAGAGATAAGGTAGGTCCTCAGAAAAATTACACAAGGGAGAATATGATTAAGAACCACACAACAGAATTTACCAGTAGGAGAGAGTCAAGGGCTACAGGATCACGGAAGAGAACCAGGGAGAGCAGACAAAGACTGTTCCACAGTTTTATTCAGTATCTAATTAAAAAAAAAAAAAAAATACCAGGTCCCAGACACCGGCAAGAGACGGGGACACCCGGAAGCTAAGCCCTGAAGAACGCGAGGAAGGGCTGAGCAGGCAAAGGGAGCAATGAGAGGGAAATGCAAGGCAGAAAAGATGGTGTGAGTCAAAGCCCTAGGCTGAGCCCAATCCAGAGCAAGTGAAAAAAGAATTCAGTTTGCCAAGTATCAGCTGAGTTTGTAAAGGGAGGCTGCAGCTGCTGGCTGACAGATTGGAAATACTACAGGGGCGGGGCTGGGGGCATGATTCTAAGAGGCAATGGGCAGCCACTGAAGGCTGTTTTTAGCATGATGGGGGCATAGCCAGGGTCGTGCTTTTAAGAGATGAGTGGTAAAAAAAGCACAGGCAATCGATTTGTTGGGGGGCACCTGCGACCCAGTTTAAAGGTCAAGGCCAAAGGTAAAGCCATAATGGCCAGCTCTGAGAGATCCTTTCCAAAAAACAATTGAAGGACTGGTTGGATGACGGCGGGGTGGCGGTGGGGGGCTGTGGAGCTAAAGCCCACCCTACAAGTTCAAATCTAACGGGGATGTCATTATAAAAAAATCAAGCCAGGGACCCAATGTCACTCATTCTTCTTGCCCTAGAAATACTTATCTGTACCTGCCAGCCCCCAGAAGCCCATAGGCACTTGGGCCAGGGTCAGGGAAGCTTCACAGCTCTCTATCCCCAAGCCCTCACCTCCAGTTTCCCCCTGACTTTGCGGTTGGTGAGCAGCAACTTCCTTCTGCACTTGACCCTCCAAGTCTTGCCTCTGCTGCCAACCCCCTCAATATAGAAACTTTCAAGGAATAAGAGAGGAGCCTGTATCTGCCCCTCACCCCATCCAGGTACCATGCTGCTGCCCAGCAGCAAGGCTGCTGCTTTTAGTAAGTTGCTGCGCAATTTCATAGCCTCAGAGGAAAAACCTGGTCCCATCCTGAAACACCTTATTTCTCTGGTTCACCCAGAAATGGAAGGGCAGGTGGGAAAACAGAAATATATCACTCAGGTGGGAAAACTGGGCTTTCTGGGTGTGGCTCTCATCTATTGCCTGGGACAGGGACCTTCAGAGAGTTAAAGAGAAGCTCAGAAGCACAGCTCCAGCCATCTGATGCTGGAAGTGCACATGAAGCCAATGCCACCTTTTTTGTTTGTTTGTTTGAGACAATCTCGCTCTGTCGCCCAGGCTGGAGTGCAGCGGTGCAATCTCAGCTCACTGCAACCTCCACCTCCCAGGTTCAAGTGATTCTCCTGCCTCAGCCTCCTGAGGAGCTGGGATTACAGGTGCCTGCCACCATTCCTGGCTATTTTTTTTTAGTAGAGATGGGGTTTCACCATGTTGGTCAGGCTGTTCTTGAACTCCTGACCTCAGGTGATCTGCCCACCTCAGCCTCTCAAAGTGCTAGGATTACAGGCATGAGCCACTGTGCCTGGCCCAATGCCACCTTTTAAGATGGTGGCTTTTCCTCAGGACCCTGGAGAAACCTTCTGCCTCCTGTGGGTCCCTAGACCCTGCACTAAAACTGAGCCATTTGACCCCTGAATGTTCAAATCATGTCCGTGTCTCCTTTCCAGGGCTGTAGGGTCTCTGAAGCTGGTGAACAAGACATCTCCTGGCATCCTCTGCCACAGCTAGTGCTGTGCCTAAACACAGTGGGCATTTGCAGGTCACCTCGGTGACCTGCTTAAAGGTTCTCAGAGAGTGTAAGGAGTGGGGTAGGAGGGGGATCTCCTTCCACCCTGAGTCTCCCCCACCCCACAGCTGAAGCCCAGCCCCAACCTCAGATTATTTTCTGGACAAAAGGGCCTTTTGCTTCACTTCCCTGGAATCAGTTGTACAAATATTTTTAATCACCTCTGAAATCGGCCTTTCCCCAGGCTCAGCCACCCGGCCCCCAGCTCTGGTCTGAGTCAGTCCAATCCAGTTGCGGAATCCCCCTCCTCCCTCCTTCTCTCTCCAGTGGGAGCAGAGGCCTGGTGGGCTCAGAGGCTCAGAGGCCCAAGCAACCCTGACTGGTTTCCCCCAGCAACAGTGGAGACAGCCAGGCCTTCTCACTCTTCCAGAACGACCCCGGCTTCCTTGCTCCAGCACCATCCACATACAGGCCTGAGAACCCCTCCATTCACCAGGGCAAAGGATACCATCCTGGAAAGAGAGCTCCAGGGTGTCACAGGGCCACCCAAGCTCAACACTGACCCATGGCCAATGGTTATCTTCAAGGTGCCATGATCCTGGCGCTCTCAAGGGAGGTGTTCACCCAGGGATACCTTCCTTCTTCCCATCCCACACACTCAGCAGCCTATCGAGAAAGGCGATGGCCCCACTGACAGGCTTCCTGCCTCCACTCCCATGGACTCTGTGCCTGGTGAGGTCCCACTGTCTCACCCCTCTGTCCAGGGCGCTCAGGTGTTTACCCCATTAATTAGAAGGAGCACAGGAGATGCCTGTGCCAGGAAGGAGCTGCCTCAGTGGGTAGGTTGGTGCGTGGGTGGGTAGGGGTTCCTCGAACCTCAGCCTAGATACCCCACCCCATCCCCCTACCTCTGCCCGGCACCAAGTCCAGGCATTTGGGTCAAAATGCCCTGAGCACTCTGAGACTGGGAAGCCTTCAAGGGTCTGCTCTGGAATGTCACTCTGGAATGCACCCCACCCCCCAAGGCACTCCCTCCCCAAGTCACAGTTGAAGGCACGGTGGGTGGGGGGGGAGCGGGGAGAGGAAGCTCTAGGAGCACAACACCCTGCTTCCAGATATTCTCCTCCCCACGGGCTTTAGGATCTGGATCGTGAAGTCTGTAAGTGACTGGATCTTCCTGGGTGTAACGATGCGGGTCTGGGGATGGAGGTGCAAAGGGCGCTGGAAACGCCAGCCGGGCGTTGGGGCTGGGGGGATGGGGGGGCGGAGGGTGGACGCGGTATTGAGACCTAGGGGCCAGGCTGCCAGAGGAGAGGCGCTTTGATTGTCTGAAATTCCAAACTTCCGCAGGGAGATGCCGAACCCTCTCGTCCCCACTCCAAGACGACGGTGCGGGGGTCTACACCTGCGCTCCCCGGGTGGCTGGAACGGGGAGCAGGGGAACCAGCCACTCTCTCCCAGTTTTAGGGCCACAGAAACCTGCCCTCCCCATCCACAGTAGCAGGCGGCGGAGACGACGCCGACCCACCAGAGTCACGGTGACCGCGGACTCCCACCGAGAGGCACGTGGTGGAGGGGCTCCTCTTGGAGACCCCGAATTGTGGAGTTCTTTCCTGTCCCTCCAGTCCAAGCCGCAGCGCCCGACTCCCCCACCCCCAGTCGGCTCGAGTTTGAAAACTTTCAGGGACTGAGCGGAGTTGGCGCGGCGTCCCCCGCCCGCAGGATGTCCAGCCCCCGCCTCTGCCCTCGCCCACTCCCCGCCGGCCCGACCCGACTCTTCCGGGCGGCGGAGAGGAGGGCGGAGCGGGAAGGCAGCAGCCCTTACCTGGGACGCACCGCTGGCCCCGCTCCGGCGCGGCGTTTGGGGCCAACTCTAGCCCCAGGCGGGGCGCCGGCGGGGTTGGAGGGACTCGGCGCGGGGCGCGGAGCCAGGCGGGGTCCTGGCTGGGGTGGCCGGGCCCGGGCCGGGGCGCAGGGCCTGCCTCTCCCCGGGACCCGGGCTGAGCCGGGCGCGCCGGGTCGCTCGCTCTCGCGCGGGCCTGTCCCCAGGCAAGGCACCTGGCTGTCGGTGAGAGTGGGCTGGCGCCCGCATCACCGTTACATCACCTCCATTCCGGGCGCTTATCGGGCGCCAGCAGCGCTCCAGGTATGTGCGCTCCGTTTACACAGGAACAAAGCCTGCCCGGCCCTCCCCGCCCCGACTCACCTCCAGACTGGGCCGACTCGCACTTTCCGGCTGGGGAGGAAGGCTGGAGTTTCTGGTCCTGCCGGCGAGTGGGTTGTTGCTGTTTGCTGCCACGCCCCCGCACGCGGGCGCGCGCACACTCACGCGCACTCACTTTCTGGGCTCTGCCTCCGCTGGGGCCAGCGGTGTGTGTGTGCAGCCCTGCGCGCCCCCCACCGCGTCTCCCAGCGTGCGCGCGTCCGGACACGCTCGGGGCTACCTTAGCGCGTCTCTCGCTTAGGACACTTAGCCTTTGTCACCTTTGTCCTGGCCCTCCCGTGAGACACACTTCAGGCACAGTCCGCTGGGAGCCGGCCGGAGCGAGGCGCACACTCAAGACAGAGTCCGTCTTTGTCACGCCTTCTGCGCCCCCTCCCCTCCCCAGCTTGCACACGTGGACACACCGTACACCGAGGTTTGTCTTTTGCGCGTGCCGTCCTTCTCTGGGACTCCAGTCACCAAGCGCTCCTCTCACGCGTGGCCCAAGTCCAGAGCCACTGCGGACTGTGGGCAAAGGTCGCAGGTTTCGTGCGACGGTTCCAGGTTCTGCCCAATTCAGAGCGCGCGCTCCCCTCCCCGCGTCCCTGTTCCCTGTTCTGACTTGTCCTAATTAGTTTTCACGGTTTCCTTCCCCGCGGTACAGTGTTTTAAGTTCGGCCCCCGCGGTCTCTGCGCTCCGGGACACCTTGGCTCTGACTGCGAGTTCGTCCACTCCAGCGGCCCGGGGACCTTTCCAGGAGGTCGGGTTCCCTCCAGCCCCACCCCTACTCCCTGTCCCGGGGTGGATCTGTGGGTTGCCACCCTTTCCCCTCCGGCTCCAGGAATCTGCCGAAGGGTGACCGCAGAAAAAGGAAAGTGAATCCCGGCTGGGACCTCTCCAGCCCGGTAAACAAGAGGTTTTCCGGCCGCCTTCCCCCGGGGCTGCGGGCCTCGAGGGAGGTGGGGGGCGGTGTCCCGGGGGCCCGGAGCGCGGCCTGATTAGCCCGCGCTGGAGGCCCGCAGGGGCCGAGGCGCACGGAGGAGGGAGAGGTGGTTGGGCCTGGCCGGGGCCCTGGGGACGCGGAGGGAGGGCAGGGCGCCGGGTCTCTGGGTGCCGGTTCTCGTGACGCCGAGTTGCCTGGGGCATCGCCAGCGGCGCGCAGGTCGGAGCCAGCTGGTGGCGGGGCGGGCGTGGCGGGCGGGGCGGGCGGGGCAGGCGGCCTGGAGTGTTTGCTCAACCCCCATCGCCCGAGAGGGGGAGGGGAGGCAGCTGGTCACGGGCTAGGGGGCAGCAAGGTGGAGGAGCCCGGGCAGGGAAAGGGGAGGGCATCTCCCGGGCTGCTTGCTTGCGTGCCTGCCTCGGTCTATGACAACCGGGAGTCGAAACTCTATGAATCACCCGGAGTTGCCGGAGCGATAAACCTCAGTCTGGTTCCTCCCCTAGCACACAGCCTTCTGACTCCAGGAGGGAATGTTTGCTTAGCGGCCGGAGCTGGCAGTGAGGCCCTGGTTCTCCAGAACCCTGTATCCCTTCCTGCCTTGCTCTCACGGGTTGGTCTGGGGTGGCCGAGACTGATGTGTTTCAGTCTCTTCAATATTGAGAAGAGGGGCGCGGTGCTGGGCTCCCTCCCCAAGCTCCACCTCCCACCCCAAGATTCAGACGCCCCCATGTCATGGAGGCAAACGCTTGTAGGATCCATGCAGTTGGGTGCCCCCGCTAGAAAGGCAAACGGCCGGTCAGACTTAAGTGAGGGGTGTACGTGACTCTGGCTTGGGACTCGTTTTCATAACCAGATAACTGTGCTGAAGTCAGTGTGCAGGGAGGGGCCGTTCATTAGCATATATGAAAAACCAGCTAGGAGCTAGAGGAAAGTTCAGTGAAAACAGTCTCTGAGGAGGCTTGTGACCTTAAGAAGCCAAAGATGAGCGGTGGATCTAGCAGATTTGTTTCCGTTTATTTTCGAGCTTCGGGAATCTCTGTTCCCTACCTACGTTCTCCAGAAAGGCAGCTCTTGGCCCCTGCCTCCCGACTCAGGCAGGGGAAAGGCTGCCGTCTGGGACCTGGGCACCCCAGCAGCAGAGCCCTGCCCACGCCAGCCCTGCCAACGCCAGCCCTGCCCACGGCTAGCCCTGCCCACGGCCAGCCCTGCGTGGTAGATGGCAGTGGAAATGTCGGGAGCTTTCTGAGAGCTGTTTGCTCTGTTCGTGTTCACTCCATCTCACTTCCCGAACAGGATCTGCCTTCCAAGGACCAAGCAAGTCCTTTGGGGTGGGTGACCTGGGCCTCAGCCTCCAGGGACCCTGTTGCCCTCTGCACTAGTCCCAGGGGCCTGTGATGGTCTAGGGTGGGTAGGCGGGAGTTGGAGAGGCCATGAGACCCCTCCACCATGAGTCAGACCCTGGTGGGGGCCGCCAAACACAGTGAGCTTGTGGTGCTGGAAGGGATGATCCGTGGGAGGTGGCTTTCCAAGACTCCAGCCACAGGGTCCCCTGTGCCCCCAAACACCTTTCACCTTGATTTAATACCCCAATGGCATAGAACCTATTGTGAACCCCATTTTCACCGAAAAAACTACACTCAAGAGAAGTGTTCAAAGAGATCTTAGAGCCCACTGCAGTGACTCACGCCAGCACTTAGGGAGTCCTAAGTGGGAGGATCACCTCAGCCCAGGAGTTGGAGACCAGCCTGGGCAACAGAGACCTCATCTCTACTGAAACAAACTAACAAAAAAGATGGGGTCTCACTGTATTGTCCAGGCTTGTCTTGAACTCCTGAGCTCAAGCTATCCTCCCACCTCAGCCTCCCAAAGTGCTGAGATTACAGGTATCAGCCACTGCTCAGCCTATTAAAAAAAAATTTTTTTTTAGGCCAGGTGCAGTGGCTCACACCTGTAATCCCAGCGGATCACAAGGTCAGTAGTTCGAGGCCAGCCTGGCCAAAATAGTGAAACCCCATCTCTACTAAAAATACAAAATTAGCTGGGCATGGTAGGCAGAGGTTGCAGTGAGCCGGGATCGTGCCACTGCAACCCAGCCCAGGCGACAGTGTGACACTACGTCTCAAGAAAAAAAAAAAAAATCTAAATTACAGAGGAGCATATCTGTGTCCTCCACCCCAACCTGAGTTAGGTTCCTTCTGGCAGAGTGAGAAACCACCTTTGTTCATTGGAAAGCTTCCTTCAGAGATGTCTGAGGTGTTGACAAGGCCCAGGGCTGAGAATAGCTGTGCCACCTGACGGCTGTGTGACTTGGGCACGTCGCCTCATCTCTCCGACCTCCACTTTCCTTAACTGTAAAATGGGATGATAAGATCACCCTCAGAATCAAGCCTTGTCTGGAATGTTCCTCACACAAGTCTGGTGCTTACGGTGACCAGCCTCCCTTTCCTGGTGTGATTGCTGTTCCCTCTAAGCCTTGAGAGGTCGGACAGTTTTTAGTTATAATTTAAATTGAATTAATTAATTATTTTTGAGGTAGGCTCTCACTCTGTCACCCCAGCTGGAATGCAGTGGTGCGATCTCAGCTCAGTGCAGCCTCAACTTTCCAGACTCAAGTGACCCTCCTGCTTCAGCCTCTCAAGTGTCTGGGACTACAGGAGTGCTGACTCGTGCATGGCTAATTTTTGTGTTTTTTGTAGAGACGGGGTCTCACAATGTTGTCCAGGTTGGTCTGGAACTCCTGGGCTCAAGCGATCCTCCCTCCTTGTCCTCCCAAAGTACTGGGATTACAGGCATGAGCTACCACGCCTGGCCTAATGGTTTTTTTTTTTTTTTTTTTTTTTTTTTTTTTTTTTTTTTTTTTTTTTTAAGACGGAGTTTCACTCTTTTTACCCAGGTTGGAGTGCAATGGCGCTATCTCGGCTCACCACAACCTCCGCCTCCTGGGTTCAGGCAATTCTCCTGCCTCAGCCTCCCGAGTAGCTGGGATTACAGGCACGTGCCACCATGCCCAGCTAATTTTTTTGTATTTTTAGTAGAGACGGGGTTTCACCATGTTGACCAGGATGGTCTCGATCTCTCGACCTTGTGATCCACCCGCCTCAGCCTCCCAAAGTGCTGGGATTACAGGCTTGAGCCACCGCGCCCGGCCGGCCTAATGGTTTTTAACTCAAACTCTTGCAGAAACTGACATTCTTTCAGTTCTATTTCACCATGATTAGGATAGCTTTGCCATGCCATGCACTGAGGTTTCATCTGTGCTGTTCCTTCTACCTCAGACATCTTATACCTACCTCTCACCCTGCTTTTTCTTTCTTTCTTTCTTTTTTTTTTTTTTTTTTTTTGAGACGGAGTTCCGCTCTTGTTACCCAGGCTGGAGTGCAATGGCGCGATCTCGGCTCACCGCAACCTCCGCCTCCTGGGTTCAGGCAATTCTCCTGCCTCAGCCTCCTGAGTAGCTGGGATTACAGGCACGCGCCACCATGCCCAGCTAATTTTTTGTATTTTTAGTAGAGACGGGGTTTCACCATGTTGACCAGGATGGTCTCGATCTCTCGACCTCGTGATCCACCTGCCTCGGCCTCCCAAAGTGCTGGGATTACAGGCTTGAGCCACCGTGCCCGGCCTTCTTCTTTTTTTTTGAGACAGAGTTTCACTCTTGTTACCCAGGCTGGAGTGCAATGGCGTGATCTCAGCTCACCGCAACCTCTGCCTCCTGGGTTCAGGCAATTCTCCTGCCTCAGCCTCCTGAGTAGCTGGGATTACAGGCATGAGCTACCACGCCTGGCCTAATGGTTTTTAACTCAAACTCTTGCAGAAACTGACATTCTTTCAGTTCTATTTCACCGTGATTAGGATAGCTTTGCCATGCCATGCACTGAGGTTTCATCTGTGCTGTTCCTTCTACCTCAGACATCTTATACCTACCTCTCACCCTGCTTTTTCTTTCTTTCTTTTTTTTTCTTTCTTTTTTTTTTTTTTTTGAGACAGAGTTTCACTCTTGTTACCCAGGCTGGAGTGCAAT